CCAGCTACAGAAGAGAAAGTCCCAGTATTAGCATCTTTTGACAGCACAGTGCTGGATTTGCTAATAATAAAAGCACTACATTGGCTGTTGCTAGCACCCGTTAGCGTAGGCCCTCAGAGAAGTTGGCTGGTATCCGGCAGACAACGTGAAGGGCTTCGTTGAGATCGACTCTGTACTTCGTATCAGTAAGGTGTGGGAGAAGGGAACTCGAGATCGATCTAGTTTAACCTTTACTCAGCTACTTCGTTTGATGACAGGGCGTATGACTGAAGAGTATGTCACCTTTTTCCTGGAATATGATGGTTCATAAGAAACGTCTGGTTAAGTTCCTCAAAATCCTTGGGACGCCTATCCGGGTCTCCATGTAAATTTCACCGTAAAACATGATAACCCCGAGGCAGGACAATCTGTCTGTCGATCTAATTCGCGTCGCTAACTGTGAAACTTTACTTCAGCTGTTGCTAGCATCCGTTGGCATACGCTGCCATAGAAGTTGGCTAATATCCGGTAGAAAACCTGAAAGGCTTCGTAGAGGTCGACTCGGTGATTAGTATCAACTAGATGTGCGAGAATGGAACCAGAAACTGATATAGATTCCCCTTTACCTAGTTACGTTTACACGCACGTACTTTTAAGTACGCCTCGTGGTAATTCAATCTATCCAGCTCCACTGGACTAAGTGAAAGGGCAAATGCACACCAACGTAACCTTCAAGATAGTCAGTGTTTACATCCCATGCGTAAGAGGGGACGTTTCAGGAAGAATACGCGTAAGTTCACCGCGGGGATAGTGCTTGCGATCGCTGTTTTCATACGTCGTCTTATCAGTCCGCTCGTTGCGTCCATTAAGATAGGCATTCTAATAAAAATGTCTTTCTCCTTTGCCGAACTGACTTCTCAAGTTCTGTTTATGTTTCGTCCCCGTAGCGCAATGTCCCAGAATGCGGGAACGACCACGTTGAGTTCAGCTTCAGGACTTCTATAAGCATAAGGCAAGAAATTGGAGTTCCTTGTCGGCTTAACCTTCGTCTACACACCTTTTCAAATTTCTGATGAGCATAATGATTGTAGATTACAGTTCACTGAAAGGGAACTGTTTTGTTTTTCTTCAGCGATGATTCTCGCGCAAGCATTCAAGAATTCACGTTCGATAAACGTACGCTGTTGATTATTCATCATTAGACCTGTAAAGTAATCGAAGGGAGAAGATAGAGTAGCAAAAGTTTAAACACCCAATAAGCGTTAAGTGTGGGGAAGATGTTTGAGGCATTAATACGGCAAGGCTTATGATCCAGTGCTGTCGGTGTCTTAGTGGTGGGAGGGGGGAGGCGGAGGCACCTGACAACTAGCCTCGTCGTTGTCTCGTTGCTGTAACGTGACGTGGCAGGTGTGAACACGCATGCCGGAGTCGTCTTAAGTCTTAGGGCGCCTCAAGGCTTGCATGAATGCTTTATGCGAGCATAAGGTTGGGTTGGCTAGCATCCATTTGGATAGATGCCTAGTCGTTCGATAACTATAGCCTGCATCAGAGAAGGAATTCAAGGTGATTCAAGTGTCTTTGGTTCTGTTGCTGACAAATGAACACCAGAGGTGAAACTTTTGTCGGAAAGCTTTGAGACGCCTTGCGTACTCATAAAAGCATATCTGCATTTACAGGGTTCACACTACTCTTTACACCGTCTATGGGCTAGGAGCAGTTTTTTTTTTTTATTCAAAAAAGACTTCTGCTGACCTCGGCACATCTAGCAAATATATACCACACCACACTTTGCAATATTTATCAGGAGGCTGAGGTCAGCATGGTCCTCGAATTCGACGGCTCCGACTTTTGGCACGACAGACAGACCTCAGGAACACTCTGCGTTTCCACAACCTTCCCCCATGTGTTAGATATGTGGATAGTTACAAGTAACTTTGCTCAACAAAGCTTAAAGACGTGCGCTTCACAGTCCATTTGTCTGTTTTTACCTCTTTCAAGGCTCGAACCCTCAGAGCACACTACATCCAGACGAGTAACATGGTATGGATGATTCGTATGGCTGCCTAAACAGGACACAGGGACGGGACCCATCCACAATACCGGAAAAAGTAAGCTTATGATGAAGAGGAGGGTCCATGTTAAATCTAGGGTTAGGTTTAAGGTCCAAGTTGGGGTTAGGGTTAAAGTTGAGGTTCTTGTTAAGTGCAAGGTTTAGGTTTAGGTTTAATAGTTCGTTTACAGTTTAGGGTTAGTGTTAGGGTTAAGACACAGAAGTATTTGCCCTTCTGAACTTGCTGGCAAGGCCACCTATTTTAAGTGGGCGGGACGTACCTTTTCCCGCGTCCTATTTAGATGACCATCTTAAACCTTAAAATGGTAAAGCAACTTTTCCTACTCTGTCTTATCTGTCCTTACTCAGATCGCTCATCCACCTTATGCATCGCCATGATCGGGCACTTGTGAATCCATCACACAGAGACTGACGACCCAGTGCCTGGAAGACAAACACACATCAGAGATCGATGCCTCCACTGTCCTCACTGTCCATGTCCATTAACTGCCCACAGGGAACTACTTGATCGTCTACATAGCAATGACAGTAAAATCAACCGCGATAGCGACATACCTTATACATCCTGCACATCTATGTACAATCACACTCACAGCTCTACAGTCGGCGTGACCACCACCACCACCACCATCACCACCACCACTGCCACCACCACCGCCACCACCACCGCCACCACCACCACCACCACCACTCGTACCATGACTTCTGGAACACTCATACATGTGAGATATGAACTGCCCGATCCCCTTTTAGATGAAATCCCGACGCTTTTGTTTAGGAACCAGGTCATGCACGTAGTGTGCGTAGAGGTGCTAATTATAGATATTAGCAACTGCGCCTGCTCCCCACACAAGTCCACTGACCGACTCGGATGGTGGCCTGATGTTGAAGGTGAGCAGGGAGCAATATCAACGGCTCAGCGCAATTTCCTCCCTATAAACAATTTAGCACGCTTGAAACTATCACGGTGCGCTAAAATCAGTGCCTTGGAAGGTTGCCAACTGACTGGGATAACACGGACCGCGTGGCCAGGCCATTATGTGTTTGTGTGGAGTGCCTGACTGGCGGACCGAAAGTCGGGCTGCAATAACGCCTTCTTAATGTAGCCTTTATGGCACTCCCACTCTGTGGGATCCGAGCCAGGTGGGTGGCACGCTTCGGTGCGGCATCGGCCACGCCAGCCACCTGTGCCGACTCCTGCTTGCGGTCTTCATGACTTGGTCATGACATAGAGCCCAGGTTGGAAGGGGCAGAGGAAATCAGCGCAAAGAAAACTAGGCGCATTACTAAGGCCACGTTATATTTTGAAGTAACATAGACAAATGTCCGTTTGTAACAAAAGAATATTTTATGGCGACATATACACATTTACTCTCCAGTTTTCCCGTTGATGACAAGGAAACTTTTCGTGAAGAAGGGGATATAATCACTGGAACACGAGCTTTAGTAGCGTGAAGTTTCGGATGTTTATTTAAACGTATCATCAAAGACACAGCAGCTACCCAGTCGGCAACGAATACAGTTGCCTAAGGGCGCTATACCGACATGTAGAGACACTATGCAGTGAGGACGAACTTTCCGAACTAACATTTATTGGAGGGATACTCGGAATGACTGGTTATCCGCGCGGCTTTGCCACCCGCTAATGCGTAAAAGCGACGGTGGACAAAATTCAACCGGTGCCAAAGCTTGGCGCGCGTCCACGAAAGCCCTCAGGCACCTTCTCACGTTGGAGTTG